CTTTTAAAGATTCCCCATTTTAAAGATTCCCCGTTCCCCATTCCCCATTCCCCATTCCCATTCCCCGATTCCCCGTTCCCCGTTTTAAAGATAGCCCCTTTGGGATCCCCCCAAACTGGGTTTTGGGGCTTGTAGCTTTGATTCCCTTGCTTTTATGCTTGTGACATGACTTACCTACTTACCAAGTGTAAAATCTACTACAGTATCTTGGTTCTTGTTGTCAGTTATTCTCTTTGCCCAGCATGCAGACTAGTCTTAGCTTCATGTTTACAAAGTATAAGATTTAAACAGATGAGACATTTAAAGTGCTTTATTTGACTTAAGAGCTCAAAAAATCTTTATTTAAGCTGCATTGTTCGGGAGACTCCTTTATACTCAGCTAGACTTAGTCAGGTGCCCATTTGTTCCTTTCCAAGCCTGCAAATAATTTTTGCCTATAATTAGCAGGTCATTTAATTTGTCAGGCCAATGATTTTAGGACAAGTTTAATGACCTGACAAAATGCCAGTCTGGTCAGACATAAAGAAAACTGTTGCAACAAATGAAGAATTTAAGAGACATTTGGGACATTCGAGACAAAGAGTGCTTTTTCATGGATTAATTGATCAAAACATAAGTATTATGCCTTCACTCACATGTGTATTCCATATTTTCCGGCGTATCAAGTTTTAAATCTCTGTGTATGACAAGTTTTCCACAACATCTGAGGAAAACCGTACCGCAGGAAAAGCGATGAAACAATCTCCCGCATAGCTAGCTTGTCAGTATAAGATTACTCACAATAACATTGAGAGACTTGAAAATTGGCTGAAATGAATTCTTCGACTTTTTCTGAAAGCAAGTTTCTCCTGAAAATTGTCGGGGTCAATTGAATAAAAAATTTGCATAATTAGATGAAATTGAAATTGTATTATTGGAAGTGGTCATGACTCCAAAGTGTGACTAATTTGTACATTCCTGCTTTTCGCAAAAACATGTCTGTGGTAGCTGGAAACTACATTTGAACCGCAGATGAAAAAAAGAAAACAATAAAGAGCTAATTAAAACTGATTTTTGATCAAAGGGACTAGGAAAACATTTGGTTACATTTTAGAGGTTTTTGAAAGCGATTGCATTCAATTTGCGTAATACATGTATTTTAATAGAGTCAAATAATTCCACATCACTTGCAGATAACAAACAATATTGAGTAATTACATAAGACCTTAGATTTTAGTAGTTTTTCAGATGAATGTAATTCAGACTAATTGGGCTTCACGATCTTTCACAACACCACCGCAAAATGTGTAAATTAACACGTAGGAATAGTGCATGGTGCTAAGGTAGCATGTTTACAATTCAACATGACATTTGGGATGATGTCCCACAATGATGTATTGCGCGTGATAAAATCATTTCATGAGCAGTGGAATAAAAACGAAACTGATTAGTGATATAACAAAGCTTTTTTGCATAGTATTGTGTGGGAGTATAATAAAATAACTTGTTTCATATTCAGCCACAAATTTCCAGTTAAAATATTTTTCATTGTAGCAGAAATGCCCAGACAGAGGGTCCGACCAGGCCAAGCTTTTACCTGTCAAAACCTCAAATTTACCGGACAATTATCCCATGACCAACTGTTATTTACAGCCTTGCTTTCCCCTCTGCACATTTCCAAACTGTATGTTTTTCTTAGTCTTTTGCTCTGTTAAGTGACCATACCTGAGCAAGAGAAAGCTTAATTTATGATTTCCTAGAGACAGACAGCCATTATCCTTGGAGACCCCTGGGCACCTCATTAGAAAGGGATGAACATGTCTTCCCTGCTTCCCCACTTCCCTACTTCCCCACTTCCTAGCTTCTACACTTCCATGCTTCCCCGCTTCCCTTCCTCTGCGACTCCCTGCTTCCTTGTTTCCCTGTCCCTGCTTCCCTGCTTCCCTGCTTCCCTGCTTCCCTGCTTCCCTGCTTCCCTGCTTCCATGCTTCCCCACTTCCCTGCTTCCCCAATTACCCACTTCCCTGCTTTTCCTGCTTGCCCGCTTTCTTGCTTCCCTGGGTCCCTGCTTCCTTGCTTCCCTGCTTTCCCACTTCCCTGCTTCCTTGTTTCCCTGCTTTCCTGCTCCCTGCTTCCCCAATTACACGGTTACCTGCTTCCCCAATTACCCACTTCCCTGCTTACGTGCACTGCTTCCTTGCTTACCTACTTCCCCAATTCCCCACTTCCCTGCTTCCCTTCTTTCCTTCTTCCCTGCATCCCTGCTTCCCCAATTATGCACTTCCTGCTTCCCTGCTTCCTTGCTTCCCTGCTTCCCCAATTCCCCACTTCCCTGCTTCCCTTCTTTCCTGCTTCCCTGCTTCCCTGCTTCCCCAATTTCCTGCTTCCCCAATTCCCACTTCCCTGCTTTCCCACTTCCATACTTCCCTGCTCCCCTGATCTCCCCCTTCCCAGCTTCCCCACTTCCTTACTTTCTTGCTTCCTTGCTCGCTTCCCTGCTTCCCTGCCTCCATGCCTACCTGCCTCCCTGCCTCCCTGCCTCCTTCCCTCCCTGCTCTCCTGCTTCTCTATTTCCCTGCTTCCTTGCTTCCTTGCCTGGTTATTTGTTTCCCTGTTTCTCTGCTTCCATGCATGCTTCCATGCCTGCTTCCCTTTTCCCCAGCAAAAAAAAAAAAAAAAAANCCATGCCTTCTTCCCTTTTCCCTGGCAAAAAAAAAAAGATTAAGATAGCTGCTTCAACTTTATTTTATTATCAATTTTTGCCAGGTGTTCAATATATGTTCATTTTTCAGATGCTGTTATTTTAACCAATCACTATCACATCATTCTATCTCAATATTAGTTCCAAGACTGCAATGAAGAGATGAGTTAACACAAACTGAGTCACGTTTGTTGCTGTACCACGAAGGGAATCTAACAATGGCAGCTGTAGCAGCTACAGGGTGAGTTGAGTTTGTAGAGCTGACTAGTGTCTTTAGAGTTACTCATGGTATTTGCATTCGAATCATACGATTACCTGTACTACATTGTAATTCAAGAAGTACTGGCATGCAAATACAATATACTCAATAATACAGTTGAACCTCCACTGATGGCCACCTTGCCTGGTCAGCGATTCACTCTTATTTTGAACGCTCTACAACAGCCACCTCTTTATAGAAAGGCAATGCCCACTAAACCACGCCCCAGCTCTCAAAATAGCCTCCCCAATGGCCAGTTTATCAATGACTGATGAATAGTGTATACAAAAGGTCACGAAACTTGATCCGTACCATATGTCATTGGTGTCTCTTTGTGTTTTACTGATCATATTTTGTTTGTTACGTATTTATATACAAAAAGCAAAAAATGTTGCATCCCCGCCAAAAAACAGGTGTCATATTACAACCCTCCTTACCATAATGGCCAAGGTCACTCTCCTCTGTCTCCAAGATGGCCGCCATAAAGACTGGAAATAATATTTTTATTTTTAATAATTATGTAATATTAAATATTTTTAATCTTTTAAATTACTCTTGATTTCATGGGAGTAAGTTGTTTATAGAAACATCTCCATACATGTACACATTGCCTCCAGCTAGAATGGGTTTGTTGCAACCACAAACTAAATAATGTTCTATTAAGCATGTATGATAAACTGTAAAATTACAGTTATTGTTTTTAAAATGATTTTAATTCCTGATACGTGCGCATGTAGGTCTACACTACAGAACGTTACTGACAACCAGAAAAGATGGTTAGTCTTTGGAATTGCACTCAACAAAGTCCTGGTTTCCCAAATACGTTCGTTTGTACAGCAAAAAGTGCAGAAGGAGTATGGTAATCTTCAAACGAGCCACAGTATTCACACTCAAAGCACATCTGGGCGACTAAAGAATTGGCCAACATTTCTAAAGTACGAGAACATCAATGGTAACGATGTATTTCCCAGGTTGCCAGGTGGCAGGTATGATTATTCCAAGTTTGACTGCCGAGTGACATCACATGTTGACTTTGCCAAACTCTATGTAGAGAACCACATGGCCAAGTTTAACGCCTTTGATGAACACTGTGATGCATCTGCCGTTCTCGCCTTGCTTGGTAAAGTGCCACGAGTCTTCTCACTGGCTGTGCAGAGTGCTGCTGGTGATGTTAGACAAGCGAGAAATACCTGGGCACACTGTGTGTTTAAGGACTGGGAACTATTGAGTTTTCAACAGAGATTTGCTAAGATGGAGACGCTGGTAAAATCTTTAGGTTTGCCGAGTGCTGATGAGATGTATCTTGTAAATGAACTGAAAGACTGGCAAACAAAAGGTACAGTCAACAGTTTATGTCTTAAACTGAGTGCGTGAACATTCACTGGGAGGACATTTTAAGTCTGAATGATAGAGCGTTCAAGCTCTCGAGCAGTTTTCCTGTGGTCCCCAAGCTGAAAATGGGTTTCAGTTTTGTCACCAGTTTTTAAATTCCAGTTGCTATGGCAACTACAACAGAGAAACTGAAACGGTTTTGCCCAACTATTATTGGATGCTATTACTGGAATAACATTCCTGTATCTATACAAAATACGCCAACTAGAAACCTTTTTAAAAAAACACTTTTAATTTCCACTTTTAGTTTGCGCAGTATTATTTATTCATAATGTAAGTGTTACAAATTAAAGCTATTATTTTATTTACTATATTTTAACTCTCTCCTCTCTTATACTAATTCTCTTTTTATCCCAAAATAAATGCATTTAATTAAAGGGTATATAATTAGTTTATTATATTTTGTCCTTTCCACTTTCTTTTCACTGCATTTTATTTTTAAGAATACTGTATAATTGACATCGTCAAGTGGAGAAATAAGAAATACAAAAATATAATACAAAATGAAACAGTTTTTATTTTTATTTTTTGGTTTGCTTTTCAATTGACNTCCTGTATCTACACTGTGTACGAAATACGCCGACTGGAAAACTATTTTAGAAAAGACTTTTAATTACCAGTTTTAGTTTGCGTAATATTATTAATTCATAAGTGTTACAAAAACTATTATTTTATTTGCTATATGTTAACTCTTTCCTCTCATATACTAATTCTCTTTTATCCTAAAGTAAGTGTATTAATTAAAGGGCATATATTTAGTTTGTTATGTTTTGTCCTTTCCATTTTCTTTTCACCGCATTTTATTTTTAACAATACTGTACTGACATCGTCGAGTGGAGAAATACAAAAATACAATACAAACTGAAACAGTTTTTATTGTTATTTTTTTGGTTTGCTTTTCAATTAACCGATTCAAATCTAAGAATTGAGGATTGTAAATAGATGTGACAAAACAAACTATGAGTGGTTCAGTCAAGCAGGACCCACAACCTATCATTTGAAAGGGTAAATTAGACAACTAATATACCAGCCTTAACCTGACAGTGTAAAGAGTAACGTTCTTAGTTAATGGTTAATAGGTAGACTACTCCTTGATTGGGAATAACAGACAAAACTAAAGCCCTACCTTTCTGCTTGGATCACGTTAACAGAGCACAAAAATGCTTTAACACTGGGACCTTGTTGCAGAAGGCTTTCGATAACAATTTTCGTTGACACAAATTAAAGCATATGTATTAATTCTCACACCTTGCTTCTCTCAAAGGTGCTATACTGTGCATGAATGCTACCATTGACCCTGATCTGGTAAAGACGGTTCAACAAGATGTGAGTGCATTGAAGAATGACATWGACAAGATGGCATTTGAAGAAGAGGTYAACAGAGAGAATGTAAAGAAGGCGCTACATGACTCTCYATTAGTTCTGGAGSAAWTGAGGGAAAGASTTGCCATGGTAGAACATGAACAAGAGGTCATCAAGCAGGACCAAAGCTCTCTGTGCGAGAAAGTGAACACTACACAAGACCAAATAAGTGAGCTTAAATCTGAACAAGAAGATGTGCAGCAACGTGTCGCATATCTGGGAGAACATTTGGGCAAACAAGTTGCTATTGCAGAACGAGAACAAGAGGTCATCAAGCAAGAACAAGAGATCATCAAGCAGGACCAAAGCTCTCTGTGCGACAAAGTGAGCACTACTCAAGACCAAATAAGTGATGTGCAAAGACGTGTTACTTACCTGGAAGATCAGCAGACCCAAATACATTCTGGTAATTTGAATAATTTTTCATTGTACAAGCAGTGTGAGGAAAATGAACCAGAACTACGTCAAGCAGCTAAAAGATGATTCAGTCTATCAAAATGACATTCTTGTATATGTATTCATGTATAAGGAACAAATCTATCAGGCTAGTATAATGTTTCGCTGAACTGCCTTGTGACCAAGAATTTCACTCAAGAAAAATCTTGAGTCAAATTCTTGTACTAGACATTTCTGAAATGACTCAGGCTGAAAAATGAATACAATTCAAATAGATACGTATCTACGTTGCTGGTGACGCTCTTTTCCAGGGCGGGAAAATGTTCTCTATTTTTACCACCTAACTACTACTTTACCATAACATGGCTGATGAGTCAGCATATAGCAACGACAGGTTACCTAGGTAGTATGTTTTAATTGATTGCTGTTTTGAAGCTCCATAATAATACATTATTTTAAAAAGGTGCTGTTGCATTCCCTACAAGTTGCGTTACAGCACTGAAAGCATGTGAATATCATCAACCAAGTATCCGTTTAATTTTTTGTATCAATTTTTTTACAGAAATTGCCAATTGTGAATCAGACATCGCCTTTCTTGCTGCACGTCATGACGCAGC